TGCGTCTTACTAAGCACCTTTACGGAAATAGTATTAGTTTGGACAATAATTTGTTCCCTGTAAATCCTGGGACCCAACTAAAATGCTTTTTATGCAATGTTTTCAAGTTAAAATCGCCTTAGTCCAGTACAAAAGATGCTTTTACTTTTAGAAAATCTGTATTATACAGGCTCTTTTTTGTATATATTCTTTTCTCGAAAATTCAGCACTTGGAAACATTCTTTTTATACCATTAGATAGCCCGTAGACCAAAGTATATTTGACACTATTTGAATTTTGAAAAAGCCCACCTTTCAATTTTTTATCAAATGTCCGTCCAAATGCCCCACTATGTAGGGTTTCGTTGGACAATCTGATACAGTGTATGCAGCATTTAAGTTAATGGCCTCAAGATATCGTCATGAAATTGAGATCGCTCTTAGCAAAGAATGAAGTGAATTGAAAAAACTTTATATAAAATTCATTGAGAACATGTTTAATTGTACAAAATAACATTTATGCATGTGTATGAACGCGATGAATCAGGTGTTACACAAGCTCTACAAACATACTTTATGCATGATGAGCACGGTATTAGATCAGAAGACTGATAACCGCATTTAAAAAGACTTGGAAGTGGAGTATAGGTTGCATGGGTATGAGGATCAGACGACGTTGAGTGGTAAGAATTTGGGTCAAAACACGGATAGTTATTAACTGGCGAACTAGTAAGATAAAGATACTAAGATAGTAAGATATTATTCGACAGAGAAGGAAGACAAGTAATTGTTGAAGTAAAATATTTGAATAGCTTAAAATTTAAATTGTATGATGTGCATCTTTCAACAGAGCTAAAAAGTTATACCCGTGACTTAAATTTGATGATACAACACTAAAGACCGGTTGGTGCAAGATTTTTCAGAATATCTAAAAACGGGCTTTTTGATGTACTTTTGTAACTGCTACAAAATGTTCAAAACGTAAACCACTAGCACCTTATATATATTAAAAACGACGGTGATCTATAGAACTTTACAATGACAAAAACTTTGAGCATTTTATTTTTAGCAGCTTTTGACTATACAAATCACCAACACTTGCACTATCATGTAGTGATGCTAAAAGTCTTCCATTTGTCGCCTTAGCCAGTGGCCGTTACCAATAACATTCGCGACTTTCCATATTGTTTATAACTGATATTATAATGAAGTTCAAGCTAATGACATGGTGTTGCCACTGAACCTTCCTTAAAATCATGACCAGAATAATTTGGTTACTAACGTTTCGGAAGAAAACGTCTTATTTGATAACAATCACTAACGGTTCAGTCCCAAACTCAAATTCTACATTTATTGTCACACAATAAACCATTCATTACTGGTGGATACAACGATATTAATTCATAACCATATTTACTTGTATCGAAGTAAAATGAAATATCTGACATTGTATAATTCATATCATTTCTTTTATATGGCGTTTTACTATTATCATCTTTCAATATTTTGACGCCACCATGCTGACTTCCCTTTCATTACATCTCAGCGAAATGTATAGAATGATTATCTTCCCCATTTGAATATTCTATCAGCAATGCTCGATTCATCTGTTATGTATTTTGCTGATACGGGATACTTTGAAAACACTTTTTCTAATAGATCGATTGCGCCTCTACATTCTGTATTAGATTGACAATTGCGATAATATAATTCTCGAAGGGCATCTGCTTCTGTAAGAACTAAAATAAGAAACAAAACATTAGTGCAGTTAAGAGTCGTAACGAACGTGAAAACGAAAATCTTACCTTCTTCCCAACCAGGCTCGTTAGGTACAATCCATTCGTGTCCATTGATGACTATTGTTTGTAGTATAGGATGTGCCAAAACACACGTGAGCAAAACAAGCGTCGTCAACAGTACAAAAATCAGTACTTTCATCAAAATAAAGTGGACGAGATTATAATTAGCACTTTTGGATATAAGTCGATCTCACTGTTGTTGCTTTAGTATTTTGAACTAAGAACCAAAATAAATCGCGTTACCAACTGTATTAACGTGAGTCTAAGCAGGTAAAATCAAAACGAATTAGATAGTAGTTAGAAGAAATTTTGTATCCGATGAGATTTTTCAAGTGTATATCCGTTTATATAGTTATAACTTTAATGATCAATAAAGTTACTCAATACCACTCATATTTACTTAGTGACAAAACACTATTCATTGTTATACGTAATCCTTTATTTAATTTAAATATTTTTGATGCTCTGAAAACTAAGTATTAATAAGAGAATAACGACAAATATTGTTTTTTCTTATGTCTGATGACATGTATATCCTTGCCAACAAAAGGTAAAATACACAGTTTATATTGCTCTATCGAGTGTGAATAGATTCTCTCAAAATGTAAGTAAATATTTGTAAGGATATTAACCGTGACACGATATTACTGCGAACACGATCCCGACTCTTCCGCGAATTTTTTATAGTACACTTTTGGTTATTTTTGGTAGTGTATCGTGGGAGGTGAGGTAATGTTGGTTCGCGGAAATGTCGGTGTATCGATATTATAAGGTTTAAATGAAACAGTAGGAAAACAAATTAAATAGACTTCTACACTGATACAACACTTCATTCAGCAGTCGTATGATAAATAATGAAACAATAGTGACCAGCGAAAAAGCACAGTAAGATCTTTGACTGCTTGTTAGGTAAGTTGCAATTTTCATTAGTTGGTGTAGGAGCTGACTACATTATTTTTTAAGCTAGAATTAATCATCAATAAAGTTAGTCAATACCAGCCATATTTACTACTGACACATGAAAAACACCATTCTATTGATTGTTGTACGTAGTCGTGTATTTGTTTTAAATACTTGTCATGCTCTGACAGCTCAATATTAATAGACTTGGAGAATAGTGACAAATATTGTTTTTTTTCTGATGTCTGATGACATGTATATTCTTGCCAACAAAAGGTAAATAACACACTTTATACTGCTCTGTCGAGTGCAAATAGACTGTCTCAAAAAAATAGACAACTCTTCCCGGCTTTCAGCCATGTATAAAGTGAGCTAACCTGTTTGGAATTATCATACGTTACGTACTTTTCAGTAAAAGTTGGAACCAATCTCAATACTGTTTTGAATAGCCCGAAGATTTTTCTAACCGATGAGGTGCATATTGCCATTTAGACAGAAAACTTGATTACAGGGTTTCTGGAAGACCTGACCGCTAGAAAACCAAGTCTTTGGTTTTTGGCCAGAACATTTTGCAAACGATATAGCCTCATAGAGAAAAGAATTCTGAGCAAACTAAGATACGCCTTGACTGTCTATAATGCTTTTTCACCCAACTACATTCGATTTACGAATGGCTACAAAGGGCGCGAAAATTACCAAGATGCACCTCATCGGTTAGAAAAATCTTCGGGCTATTCAAAACAGTATTGAGATTGGTTCCAATTTTTACTGAAAAATCAGAAACAAAGGAATTCTTAAGATTATGACATTGCATATGTAACACCAAACGCTGGCCCCACCTGTCTAGATACTCTGGCCAACTCAGTTTGTGGAGAATTTCACGAGCTATCCAATGGTATATTTTTAAAAAATATATAATTTTTCAATAAGACAGAAAAGACCTTTAAAACCGACGTGTTTTTCTTCACTTTGACGCTAAAACTTTTTCTGAAAAACTACGAAGTCCGAAACTTTTGAAAGTGCTTCTGTATAGTACTCCAAGTGTACTATCCATTGGAACTAGTCCGACTTCATTGTAGGTAGAAACCTCGGAGAACCATGGATCACAAAAGTGCTCCATGATGCTTCATTTTCGTTCTCTGTTAAGGTATGAGATGAGAGTGATACGTAATATTTGTATGTCAGCATATAGTAGACATTTAGTACTATATATCCTAAACGAATCTTGGTTCCATCACCTATCGTTCGCGAGAACCCTCCAGGATCTTACAGGAAAGAAATTTAAAAAGTGACCGTATTAAAGAATCCTGCACAATTATATTCACCAACTTGCAGGAAGCAAGGTAACGTGATGTGAAAACCTGCAGCATATATCCAACATTCACAGAATTTTTGGGATTCCTACGTGTCAACGCAGGAATTGATATATTTTTTTCAGTGTGCGGACAAAAACATGCATTCAGC